AATCACATAGTGTATGATGGTCACAGATTTCGTTTTTTTAGTTTCAGATGATTCCATCCAGTCGGAGGATATCAAACATGTTTGATATTTTCTGCCGATTATAGAACACATCTTGTTTTCATTTGTCACACATCTCCTAGCAACAAGGTGTACATTTCCGCTAGCGTTTGTTGTGATCGGAATGACTTGAAAGTCTGGTAGTACATAATCCTCAGTCGTGTATTGTATGCTGTAAGCAGCCACTCATAACAAACTCAAAACATAGCAACATCCTAGAAACCACCTGAAATACATCAGCAATCACTTATAAAGTACCCAGAACATGCTAAAAAACACCTGGAAATCACCCAAAGTACAAGCAAACACCCAGAACATTCGAGAAGCTGTACAAAATACCTCAGCAACCCCTCAGCAACAACCCAGAACAATCTACAAACCATGTAGAAACAACCCAAAGTATCATAGTAACCACCTAAAAACACACAAAGTACCCTAGCAACCCTGAAGATCCATAAGAACCCATACAAAATACCCTTGCAACCATGCACTGCGTTCTAAGATTTGGCGAGGTTTTCCTGGGCAAGCACAAGCTACATTTTCCAAAAATCTAGTTTTAGCAAGTCTGTTTTATGCCGCTTGTGATGCAGAAATTACACATACCTTTAAATAAATTAGTTGTTTAGTTGTTCTTTGGCCCTTTTGGAAATCTAAACTCAAAAAAAGCTTAAAGCTAAAGCTTAGTTGCTATGCAAATACAGACCTTTGTAAGCCCGCTGCCAATGGCATTGGGCTGATTAAACCAAATGCGATTTAACGTTCAAGTGTTTCAGCCTGAAATAACCGTTTTATATTCAAGCAATATGGCTTTGCTTGGAACAAGCAAAGCCATATTGCCTGCTTTTGCGATGTCCTTTTGTCACATATCCAAGCTCAAATCCCTGATTACCAATGCAGTTAACGCGGAGAAATGTCAGGAAAGTCTGTTTCATGAATCTACAAGGTCTGTCTGAATAAGGAAAGATTTGATGTATTTATATTTATGTCCTTTCTGTGCCCATATTGAATGCAAAGCCTAAATATTTCATTTCTTTTGTCTTGTGTTTCACACTCTAAGCTTAGTTGCTATGCAAATACAGACCTTTGTAAGCCCGCTGCCAATGGCATTGGGCTGATTAAACCAAATGCGATTTAACGTTCAAGTGTTTCAGCCTGAAATAACCGTTTTATATTCAAGCAATATGGCTTTGCTTGGAACAAGCAAAGCCATATTGCCTGCTTTTGCGATGTCCTTTTGTCACATATCCAAGCTCAAATCCCTGATTACCAATGCAGTTAACGCTAACCTGACACAACATCAATCGCATCCGCACCATTTTGCATCCCTACACGTGTCCTTGATTCCCCTCCACCACCTCATTTGTAAAATTCAAATATCCATAGTCATAAACAAATCTTTAGCCTTGGAAAGCAGACATGTGAGACTTGGGCAGCATCTCGAAAATCCACTTTCCCTCCGACGGTCATCAGATGGATAATCTGACGGCCGAGAGAAACTGCGGGGTGCGGTAATTCAATCCAGGCGGCAGTTTGCTTCTCAGCACTCAGTTGGCTAATGTCATTACGGTCAGGACTGTCGTAATGTGTCAGGGGACGAGGCGGAGGTGTCACGGAGTCAGCGTCTGTAAGGCACACAGCTCCCTCCTCATTTAGCAGGAGATTTCCCAGCAGGCCGCCCCTGAAATGGATTGTTGGCTTTTGGCAAGGCAAACCACTCTATCTTAGAAATCTTTCAGGGGAGAACTAAAAAAATGAGAAGACACTCTCTTTTGATTGTTAAGGTGTTAAAATGATCGTCTGCTTGATGAAGAAGTTTGAAGTCAGAGTGATCCTACTTGTGAGTTGAGTGTGCATCGTAATTACCAGTGGGAAACGTTGGCCTTTATGAGTTTTTGGCCTTTATAAGTCATTAATTAAACACTTGTGGCGGAAAGAAATTAGTATTGATCATAAGAAGTTGTAATGCAAATTTAGACTGGACAACTTAGTATGTAGGCCTACGTGTTTTATGTGCCATTGGTGAAAAAAAGCAAAAAACAAACAAACCTGGTCTGAAAATGCTTATGACCAAACTACATTTCCCATGATCCAACATTTTCCTATGTTTTACTGTAAATTGAAAAAAAAATAAATAAATCAACAATTTTACTGTCAATACATAGCATCCGTAATTAAAATGGGTAAATTCGAGTTTCATAATTATGACTTTGTGGTGATGTTCATGTGCGTTTAACTGAGTTTAATTTAAATGCACTTAATATGCACCAATCAAAACACAGACAAAACAATTTACACATCTTTAGGGTGACCATACGTTCTGACAGAGATTTGTAAATTGCAGAAATTGTCTGGGTTTTGGCTATGTTTTTCCAATGACATGCTCTCTGTAGTCCTTGTACATTATATTTACACCCATTTCTTTTTCTTTGACTGTTCTCTATAAATCCCTCCTTCCCTCACACCACGATTGGTCAATTGTGTACAATGAATGCATGCTATTGGTCCAACTACTTTTCAGTCATTACCGTCAGTAAATATGAAAACAATAGGAAATCAAAGCCAAAACTCAGACATTTTAGGCAATTTAGAAATCCTGATCAGGACATGTCTGAGAAAAAGAAGACATTTGGTCACCCTACACACCTTGAATGCATGTTTTGCACTTCATTACATTGTACTGGCATTAAAGAAAGCTTCCTGTCTTTTGGCAGAAATTGAAAACAAAAAAGGAAATATTAAATTGCTCAGCAAGTAATTTAGTTTAAACCGAAATCACTCTTAAGTCATTAGTAGAAACTTTCAAAGAATGATTTGAACACTGACCTTTGACCATGGCTTGCAAAGTAGGATACATTTACATGTTGGTCCTGGGACAATATTACTATCACAGTATTAGTGATAGGGAAAAAGATTAGGTTTGAGTGCATGTACGCCATTCTTATCAATCCTAATTTCAAGGTTGAGGACTGAGATAGGACTGTTTCTTTGATAGGAATGTTATTCCTGGAATAACAAAAGTTGAAAGGCGCATGTCCTAAAATCACGTATAAACACGTTCTTTGTTTTGATGCCCTTTGGTGAGGTTTGCGTGTCAGTAAATATGAAAACAATAGGAAATCAAAGCCAAAACTCAGACATTTTAGGCAATTTAGAAATCCTGACCAGGACATGTCTGAGAAAAAGAAGACATTTGGTCACCCTACACACATGTTTTGCACTTCATTACATTGTACTGGCATTAAAAAAAGCTTCCTGTCTTTGGCAGAAATTGACAACAAAAAAGGAAATATTAAATTGCTCAGCAAGTAATTTAGTTTAAACCGAAATCACTCTTAAGTCATTAGTAGAAACTTTCAAAGAATGATTTGAACACTGACCTTTGACCATGGCTTGCAAAGTAGGATACATTTACATGTTGGTCCTGGGACAATATTACTATCACAGTATTAGTGATAGGGAAAAAGATTAGGTTTGAGTGCATGTACGCCATTCTTATCAATCCTAATTTCAAGGTTGAGGACTGAGATAGGACTGTTTCTTTGATAGGAATGTTATTCCTGGAATAACAAAAGTTGAAAGGCGCATGTCCTAAAATCACGTATAAACACGTTCTTTGTTTTGATGCCCTTTGGTGAGGTTTGCGTCTGGTCCGTTTCATTTCCCAATCCCACTCCACACATTCCACTGTTGTATCCATAAATATGAAGACATCAACGAAGTGACAATTTGGTAATAAAATGCAAATCTGTCCTCTGTGCCTATTGCAAAAGAGTCTCGGGTTGCCTTGGGTTACTTTCCTGTGCACGAAGGAGTAGCAATATCCTAACTAGTGGATTAAGAATGATGGCTCTCAGTTTAGCATTCTCCGATCCCTGCTTGTGTTCCAGCAATCACTCCTATGGCTGGCCCAATGGCCATAGAGCATATGACAAATGCTACAATCTTCTGTTTAGCCAAAGCGTCAGATTCTTTCTCATTAATACCGGAAATACGACTGCATCTTTAACAAGACAGATTTAGGATGAAAGGGAAAGCATTGTGTACTTTAGATTCCAGAGACAAGATTTCTAAAAGCCTCCGGTGACCCAAAGAAAGGAATTAACTGCAGAGGAATGACTCCGACATAAAACCAAAGGTTGCGGAAGGCCACTAATCCACCGTTCTGTATTCAAGCGAGGATGGTTTCAAACACAAAAGTCTTAGCTGGAGTGTCCCGTTTTAAAATCGAGCCCTTCTTGACATTTGCAGACTGCATTAAATCCACCCCCTTAAGGGACATGATGGACTCTAGTTGCACATGGTCCAGCAGGTTAGGAAGATATATAGCCAGGATAGTCCCATCCATTACTCGAGGATGCAAATTAAATGATTAAGTGAGGTCTTTCAACACCATTGTGCGGCTTGAACCAAGGGGTGTTTGCTCCAGGATTGCAAGGTTTTAGGAAACCCTTGCTACAAAGTAATATCCACAAGAACACTGAAGAAGCTGAAAACTTTAGGTTTAAACAATGACACTCTTGAAAATTGTGATTTCTCGAGCAGGGTGCTTGCTGCTCGTGTCTTAATCACAGCAATTTCAAGATACGCCCATCTTCGCAACCCTGTGGATTCACCACAAACAACCTCGGCCTAAACAGGCTGTGCTAAAATGGGTCATGATCTAGACGAAAGAGAAATATTTTTGGATTTTGAGAGGGCAGACACAAATGCAAGCTGACTCATCCTGTTGACGGATGTCTGTATAAACGGGTTTATGTCTAGTGCCCTTGAGGTCAAAAAATTGGATTAACGTCATACGGTGGCAGTTCAGATAGTTGATTTTCTGCATATTAACTTCTGCTGGTTTGGAACTGAGGTTTGCTGAGGCAAAAAATTAGGTTTATGCAGAGATTCTTTATTTGAAGTATCAGTAGCTCCATCTAGTGGTAAAATAATGAGGTGTTATAAATTTAAGATTTTATTTTAAAATGTTCAAAACATAATTAAACAACAAAAGATAATGGATATTTAAGATAATCATCTTAAATGTCAAACCTGTTAACAAAACATCTTAATACATAACTGTGCAAATGTAGGTGAAATGTACACTTTAAATCATACCAAGTCAGCTTTTAACATCATAGTCTAGCAGGATTTACTTTTCAGCAGACGACCTTCTGCATTGTGTCACACTCAGACAAATAACCAACTCAAGGTGCCACAGATGAGCCATGATTGGTCCAAATTTGGCGTTTCTTGTGCTGATTGGGCAACTTTTTGCGATCTTTGGTGGCGTTACGCTTCCTCTTCTTACTCAAGAAGTTCTCCAGTTTCCCGCTCTTTTTCAACTCGCTGTACTTCTCAGCCAATTCCAGCTTCTTCTTGTCAGCTGTAGAAGGGTTTTAAAGATGTTATAAACTAAAAATGATCATAATACCATATATTATTTGATGTTCTTTTCTAAATAACACATAGTTATGAACACTGATGCTCAAAAAACTGACTAGTATGGCATTCACCAACAAATGTTCTTCAAAAGAACTTATATCACAATATATGTGAACAAGGTAAAAAGTCATGGAACAGGATAAGAACAAAGACAGATTTACATTTCTTTAGGTAGAAAGGTTTGTGTCCCTGGCCAACCAACTCTCTCTGTTTCCGCTTGAACTGAAGTTCCTTTTCTCTTTCCTGCTCTTGCCTCTGTCGGGCCCTCTGCTGGTTTTCCTGTTGTACACACACGGATTAGACATAAAGCATATCATAAGCAGCAATATTAAGGTTATCATAACTGTAATGATGTTTTATATAGCTTTCTGTAAATTAAGTTTAAAGTGTCAGTATATTTTAAACATACCATTCTTTTAAGCAAGGCTTTCAGTTCTTCCTTTTTACAGTCTGATTTGGCTTTTTTGAGTTTCTTTCTCACTATCTGAAACAAACAGCAGTGGGCATAAAAATAACGCACATAATGCAAACAAACAGGAATCAGTAAGGCATTTTAGAATTTCACAGACTTTTGTTTCCTTTTCTCGGATGCCATTAATGAATTTGTACGTCTGAGAAAAAATTCCAGGCTTGTATTCCCCCGAGAGGTCATCAAAGCGAGGGTCCCTTGAAATCTGAAAAAGTAATGTTTAAAAAGTGAAAAATCAGGTCTTCACAGTTTGTTCAAATACCTAAGCGTAAGTATGAGAAATCATTAATTAAATAAGCTCCTGAAACGCACCCTTTTCTTGACAGGAACCACTTTTCGGAGGAAAGGCACATGTTTCTTTGCAGAAATCTCTTGAGGTCTAAAAAACATATCGTTTTTAGACAAAACATACACATAAGCCAAAAACAGCTATACAAAATAACTTTAACTCACATAAATTATTATTTTTTTAGCACGATGCACCACTAAAACAGTGATCAACGGTGGTTAAAAATTTTAAAAGACTAGCTTAGCAGGGCAGTGTTGTTATTAACAGAAATGAAACAAATCTAATAGAATATTAATATTATGAATATGAAAACTTAAAAAAAAAATTGGACACACTGCCTTGACAACTAACGTTTTTAGACAAAACATACACATAAGCCAAAAACAGCTATACAAAATAACTTTAACTCACATAAATTATTTTTTTAGCACGATGCACCACTAAAACAGTGATCAACGGTGGTTAAAAATTTTAAAAGCCTAGCTTAGCAGGGCAGTGTTGTTATTAACAGAAATGAAACAAATCTAATAGAATATTAATATTCTGAATATGAAAACTTAAAAAAAAAATTGGACACACTGCCTTGACAACTAACTGAAATGGAAAATAAGTATATAAAAGCAAAATCATAGTATGAATAAATCCTATAATAATTAATCAATAGAAATAATACGAAACACTGCAGGTACCGGTGTTTAGTTAATCGTTTCATGGGCTCGGTTTTCTTCTGAGACTTTGTGGCACCATAAGCGATTTTATTGTACGCTTTTGTTCCAACTTTATTCTGTAGCTTCATGATTTCCTCAAAGGACAAGGTTGACAATTCTACACAAAAACAAAGACATGAAAGTACATGTAAAATTGCTCTTTTAAACAGCATCGGCAATTAAACATTCCTAAATAATAACTTAAATAACAAAACCATTGCCAGGGTTACATAAATATCTGATCTTACCTTTTTTAAGGTTTCCCTCCGCGTGTGATGGGTCATTGCTGACGCCTTCATCTTCAAGGTTACTCTCTGCTTCGTCTTCATCACTCTCTGACTCATCTTCATCATCCACACCATTGTCTTCATCCTCTTCAGGTTCAGCTTCGTCTTCCTCTGCAGATGCATCTTCATCTCTCATTTCCTCTTCATCCTCTGCTGAAGTTTGCATTGTGCTCCTTTTACTAAGTAAAGCAAAGTTTCTCTCCATCTCTAAAACGTCCTCTTCATCATCTGAACTCTGATGGTCCATTTTAGTCAGACTCTTTGCTGATTTAGGCATTATGTTTTGGTGTTTGTCCTTTTTTAATCTTACTTTTATTTAGCTTGTCTATGAGCTGTAGAAATTAGGCATTATTAGGTTATTAAAAGGACGAAATTTGAGAACATATAAGATGAAATATGCAAATAAACCGATTTAACGTTACTTGTTAATAATTACTTAAGATCAATTAAATGAATTCTGAATAATCCTGTAAATGCAATAAAACTGGTCTGAATAAGGTTGTGTCAAGTACACAATTATAATATCAATTTATAGATTTATTCATGGCAATATGAATGGCCTGTTGTCATTCAACTACAGTAAGCAATATATGAAAAGCTTACCTAAAACGTTACATTTGTTTATTAGTATTTTGCTCGTACTTACCGTGGTGTTGTTTTTATCCAGACATCTGGGCTTAGGTAAAACAGACAAACATGCCGATAGAATGAGGAAAATCTTAACAAGAGATGCTTATTAAAGCTGTAACTTAGTGCCACTTAACGGAAAGAACAAAACTGTTAACAATTATTCTGTCATAGAACTAACTAGCGAAGATGAATATTTGCGAGAAATGCGCTTCCTGTTCGCACGTGGAAGTGTGAGAAGAGCGCATGCGCGTCGCAACACGCCTATCAAAATAAAAGTCCCATTAGATTTATAATTTTTGTCAAAATAATCATAGGACACTTTGAAATTAGTGTTTATTGCATTTAATACGACAGCTTTGTAAATGCATTCATAATATTCCGGATTATAGTCAAATAATAATAATAATAATAAAAAGGTAATAATAATATTAACAGTATCTTGAAATTAAATGTAATATAAATATAGATTTAATTCGATTTTTAGTTTCCAGAATAACGTTCTAAATGAAGTAATTTAATATATATATAGATATATATATATATATATATATATACACACAATATAGAGACAATTAATTTTGAGATTTAGATCGACCAACATTTAATGTAACTACCAGGATTTCATTTCATTTCATTTATTTTATTTTTTTGTTTGCTTATTTAATATTTACAACTTCCATATAAAAATGATTATACTGATCAAATAAACAACTGGTTGAAAAAATACAGACATATTGTTTGTACATTTTACATAATGTTCACAATAACCTTTTAACCTCCATCAAGACTAGTTATCTGGTATCTGTTTTGATATGGTTGTGTAGCCAACACATCCAATTACATAGTATTAATTTCACATCTTTTCAGTCATGCAATTCTGAGATGTCCCAGACGCGTCCTTCATTCTTTCTTGTTAGACGCGGTCAAAACACGGTTAAAGAGTTCTTCCGGCCCCCAACTGTTCCTGTAACACAGCAGGTTTAAAACATATAACATTTATATATGTTAATTAATATAACATTTTCCCACTGCCACTGATTTGTCACACATCATATTAAATAATAAAATTTTAAATAATGAACTATTTCAAAAGTCTTCTGTGACTCGTATGTTGCATGAATAATTACTGGACTGTCCACAGGCCTGAATGAGACAGGCAGGGAAGAAAAAACATTTTCTTTGAATTTTACATCTTTATATCTTGATGCTTTATTTGGCACTGAGTAAATGACGAACTCTTGATTTTTCACTTTGGTCTGACCTTTGCTCAGAAAAAAAAAATCTTTTTGGACGGTCTGTGACATTCAGAGAAAGGGATTCATAGTTGGCCAAGGGGTCTTTCTTCATGTGCTTGAATGTGGCTGTTTCCACCACTTTATCAATCGCTGCATCTGACAGATTCTTTCCCACAAACAGATTTTCACAACGATGGATCTGAGGTCCTGATAAAAGATTTATACATTTCAAGTAGGCTACAATAACTCAAAATAAGTTTGATGGAAAGGTCAAAGGGTCATAAGCCAAACCAGACTCACCTTGATCATTTCTTCATAAGTAAGAATCAGGATGTTGTATTTGTCTTTATCTGTGATCCATCCTTTAACATGGTCAAACCAACAGCCACCAATCACTACAAAAGCAGACACAACATTAGTGTTTTTCAAACTTTATGCAGGTTCAACACACACACACACACACACAGAGAGAGAGAGAGAGAGAGAGAGAGAGAGAGAGAGAGAGAATGAATAACTAAGTGTCTGACATGCCAAAATGCCAAAATGTTGGTTTTGGCTCTTACTGCATCCTGTGAAAACATTTTCCAACATCCAATCAAAGCTCTCAGAGGAATCCAAGTTTTTCATGTTGTTGGAAAAATGTAAATATGACACCAAGACGTCTTTAGGGTTTCTCATGACATAGATGACCTGACAGCAAAGACAGATGTCAGAAAAACTTTGCATGACATCAAGCCAGTTTGTAATCGATTGATGAACACATACCCACTTTTCCTTTTTTTGCAGCAGCAGCAGCATTTTGGGCATCAGCAGCTGGAGTAAATAGGAACAGAAGATGGACGTGTGTTGTAATTTTTCTCCATTGCTCGATACTTTAGCCAGGGTATCTACTCGGGTGTGATTTGGTTGGCTTTGTCCGGGAAATCTTCTGCGTATATTAATGTCATGATCCATACCGTACCTGAGAGAGTGATGTAGAGTCGAGCATAAAATTCTAGGGGCTCGATTGGAATAACTTTACACATTTACATGGTGATGCAAGTTCACTGTTCCGCTGTAGTTTAAACACTGGCAAAGTCAAAGTATGCTGAAGGTTTAACAACAGAGGTCATTTTAAATAGACAACTCAATAACATAGCCTAACATCTCACTTACCAGATTTGGGGAAGGTAACAACAAAGACATCGTCATCCTTTGTTTCAAAATCCTCTAAACTGTCAATATATTCTGGAGTAAGTTCATGATTGTTCTCCAAAGTTAAGACAGTTCCTTTGTAGGTGAACATTTTGTCACCAAGCATTTTGTATTCCTGCTGAGCCATGTTTGAGATCTTACTGAACCAAACCAATGACTGTAAATAGCGGAGAATACCTTGATATATCCAGAGGCAGATTTCATTGAGAAAAGAGACGTTACACAATAGTCAAAGCTGTTTATTTTTGTGTAGTTAATGGCCAACCTTTGGACTCATTTCTTCAACCTAAATTTTTATTATCAGCCTTTGTACATATATGTACTCATAAAGTTCAGAAGGTCAATAAACCTCATCACTCCCTGACTGTTATCTGTTTTGATATGATAGCCAACACATCCATTCACATATTAACGGTTTATTAGTTTGTAAAATGAATGCCACGTCTTGAGTTTTCATCCCTGCAATTCTGAGATGTCCCAGATCATGTTAAGAGGTACGTCCTTCAATCTTTCTTGGTAGATGCGGTCAAAACATTCACTCTGAGCCACGGTTAAAGATTTCTTCCAGTCCCCAACTGTTCCTGTAACACAGCAGGTTTAAAACATTAATATAACATTTTCACACTGATGTGTCACACTTATCTATTACATTTAATAATGACATTTCAAATAATGAACCATTTGAAAAATTACATTATCATGAAGGTGATAAATGTATATATTTATATCTTAAAGCTTTATTTGATGCTACTTAAATGTCCAACTTTTAATTTTTCACTTTTGTCTGACCTTTGCGCAAAAAGAGTCCTTTTGGACGGTCTGTGACATTCTGAGGAAGGGATTCATAGTTGGCCAAGGGGTCTTTCTTCATGTGCTTGAATGTGGCTGTTTCCACCACTTTATCAATCGCTGCATCTGACAGATTCTTTCCCACAAACAGATTTTCACAACGATGGATCTGAGGTCCTGATAAAAGATTTATACATTTCAAGTAGGCTACAATAACTCAAAATAAGTTTGATGGAAAGGTCAAAGGGTCATAAGCCAAACCAGACTCACCTTGATCATTTCTTCATAAGTAAGAATCAGGATGTTGTATTTGTCTTTATCTGTGATCCATCCTTTAACATGGTCAAACCAACAGCCACCAATCACTACAAAAGCAGACACAACATTAGTGTTTTTCAAACTTTATGCAGGTTCAACACACACACACACACACACAGAGAGAGAGAGAGAGAGAGAGAGAGAGAGAGAGAGAGAGAGAATGAATAACTAAGTGTCTGACATGCCAAAAATGCTGAATGTTGGTTTTGGCTCTTACTGCATCCTGTGAAAACATTTTCCAACATCCAATCAAAGCTCTCAGAGGAATCCAAGTTTTTCATGTTGTTGGAAAAATGTAAATATGACACCAAGACGTCTTTAGGGTTTCTCATGACATAGATGACCTGACAGCAAAGACAGATGTCAGAAAAACTTTGCATGACATCAAGCCAGTTTGTAATCGATTGATGAACACATACCCACTTTTCCTTTTTTTGCAGCAGCAGCAGCATTTTGGGCATCAGCAGCTGGAGTAAATAGGAACAGAAGATGGACGTGTGTTGTAATTTTTCTCCATTGCTCGATACTTTAGCCAGGGTATCTACTCGGGTGTGATTTGGTTGGCTTTGTCCGGGAAATCTTCTGCGTATATTAATGTCATGATCCATACCGTACCTGAGAGAGTGATGTAGAGTCGAGCATAAAATTCTAGGGGCTCGATTGGAATAACTTTACACATTTACATGGTGATGCAAGTTCACTGTTCCGCTGTAGTTTAAACACTGGCAAAGTCAAAGTATGCTGAAGGTTTAACAACAGAGGTCATTTTAAATAGACAACTCAATAACATAGCCTAACATCTCACTTACCAGATTTGGGGAAGGTAACAACAAAGACATCGTCATCCTTTGTTTCAAAATCCTCTAAACTGTCAATATATTCTGGAGTAAGTTCATGATTGTTCTCCAAAGTTAAGACAGTTCCTTTGTAGGTGAACATTTTGTCACCAAGCATTTTGTATTCCTGCTGAGCCATGTTTGAGATCTTACTGAACCAAACCAATGACTGTAAATAGCGGAGAATACCTTGATATATCCAGAGGCAGATTTCATTGAGAAAAGAGACGTTACACAATAGTCAAAGCTGTTTATTTTTGTGTAGTTAATGGCCAACCTTTGGACTCATTTCTTCAACCTAAATTTTTATTATCAGCCTTTGTACATATATGTACTCATAAAGTTCAGAAGGTCAATAAACCTCATCACTCCCTGACTGTTATCTGTTTTGATATGATAGCCAACACATCCATTCACATATTAACGGTTTATTAGTTTGTAAAATGAATGCCACGTCTTGAGTTTTCATCCCTGCAATTCTGAGATGTCCCAGATCATGTTAAGAGGTACGTCCTTCAATCTTTCTTGGTAGATGCGGTCAAAACATTCACTCTGAGCCACGGTTAAAGATTTCTTCCAGTCCCCAACTGTTCCTGTAACACAGCAGGTTTAAAACATTAATATAACATTTTCACACTGATGTGTCACACTTATCTATTACATTTAATAATGACATTTCAAATAATGAACCATTTGAAAAATTACATTATCATGAAGGTGATAAATGTATATATTTATATCTTAAAGCTTTATTTGATGCTACTTAAATGTCCAACTTTTAATTTTTCACTTTTGTCTGACCTTTGCGCAAAAAGAGTCCTTTTGGACGGTCTGTGACATTCTGAGGAAGGGATTCATAGTTGGCCAAGGGGTCTTTCTTCA